CGTGTCTGCCTCGCCCTCCAAGTTCAGTATGTGTACACCACCCCATTGCGGAATTAACCAGCTGTACCCTGCATTCTCCTTGACCAGAAGCGGAGACTGCGTGTGATCCGGTACATACAGAATGAAGTTGACGGTCGGCCCCTCGCCAATGCTGGGACTGAGAGGCCACTCAGCCGCGTTCACGAACCCACTAAGGTCTTCCTTGCGGAGAGTCCATGCCTTTGTAGTTTCATCGTACTCCGGCTGGCGAACAGACGGAGCGAATGTTGCGTAAAGTTGCACTTGTGTATCGACGGTAAAGTTGCTGATGGCGGAGAAGGCGTCAAGAAGGGGGCTCATGTACGTCTGGAGAGCAGTCTCGATGTCCCACTGGGAAGGTGCGTAGGAGGGACTGAACAAGGAGAACGTCAGGTGGTATGTTGGAGCATACTTCAGGGCGCGCGTGGACTGGCGCTGAAGCTCTGCGGACGTTTCTGGAGAAAGCGCCTTAACTTTGGCAGCATGTGCACCAGAAGTAGCCGACAACACGTGCGCCAACTGCGCCTGCTCTTCACCAAATATGTTGTGTAGTTCCTGAGCGAGGAATGTAGCGAGACTCGAGCCAGTCGACGACTGCGATGGAATCTGGTTGGGCGAGTAGTATACGTCTAGCGTTGGCGAATATGGCTGCAGCTGCGACCGTGGCGTTGTGCCCGTCTCGACAGGTATCAGTCGGATGACCAGGGCCACGTCCTTGTCATCGCTCTGGATGCTGGTTCCATCGACAATGACTTGTTGCGAGGCGTTTTGCTGCGAGGGAGAATCGGCGAGCATCAGTCGGAGGTGGTGGGCAGAGAAGTCGTTGATATCGTCGAGGGCATGTTGCGTCGTACGGAGGAGATGTTGCGCATCCGTGGAAGGGATCGGGGCCTCTACAGCGATGCGCAGAGGGAAGACTGGCTTACAGACCTGCCGCGGTGTCAGCTGTGTTGGTGACAGGATGTCATACTTTGGGGGGATCTACCTTGCCCTCAGCCCAGTCCGTCATGTCCTGCAGTGGCAGCTCTGCCCTGTAGATGGCTGTTGTCTTCAGCCATATTGGTAGGCCCAGGAACACCACGACCACCCAAAAGGAGAGGATGGACAGGCGGCGCAGCCATAAGCTCTCTTTCGTCTCTGGCGGAGGCTGCTTAGCCAATGCTACCGCGGTGGGTGTCGAAGGCGACTGAGCGGACGTCTGCTTCAACTCGGCCGACAGCGACGCGTCGGAATCATTTGGTGCCGCCATGTTGCGGTTGACTTGTTCCATGCTGTCACTTGGGGCAATGTCGCGCTAACACGCGCGTCCGTGCGTATGGGTCCACCATTCATGCTCACACGAGACATGTCCACTACCTCGCAATCACCTCATCCAAGAAAAAGAGTAAGCGTCCTAGAGCTCGCGTTGACGTCAAATCATCCATTTCGCATGTTTCTATGTTAAAGTAGGCTTGAGACTTGTTAAGGTTTTTATGTATGAGGTGCAACCACACTACTGCGCCATCATTCTAGCCACATAAACAAGCAGTAGACTGAGATTTATTCATGTATCCTGTTCTCCATCATGAGCTTTCTTCTTTCGAAGGAGCTTCGAGACGTGGCAAGCATCAATTCAGACATAAAGTCCACCATACAGCCAGCGGAACCTGACATGGTCACAGCCGCTCTTCTTTCAGGCGGCCTTCTATGAGCAACCGATGATCTAAAAGTTTGGATACGTGCAGGCTCTCACATTGCTCATCGACGTTGTCTTCGTGTGTTTAGGCTGGGACACTTTCAGAGTACAAAATCTGTTGTGATTCGCATCGTGACGTAAAGAAGATGAGGATGCTGTCATGGTTTTAGTTGTTGTTACCTTACTGAACTCGGGAGGGTCGGATCCTTGGCTAGGGTCAGATTCAAGGAAACGCGTGGAAGCAAGGCTGACTAGGCTTTAAACAGCGCGTTATTCTGTCAGCTGAGAAGCTTCGTCGATCTGGCCTCTGCCAAAAGGAAGCACTACATAGGTAGTCAAGCGGGCCCGAGCTACAACGAGCAAGTGAGTTTCAACTTACTTTGTATGCTTTCTAGCGTGCGGTCTCCAGGCATATTCCGAGGGCCAGTCAGTTTGCGCAGAATGTCTGAGTTCCCTATTAATTATCTTCAACTTCATGTCTCGTGACAGCGACATCTTCCATGGTCGTGCTTTGTTGATGGTCTGCTCGTGAACGCATGGTCCGTGCGTCCCAGTATGAGTGAATTCCGATGGAGCCATATCTAGACCTCGCGCTGGATTCCTTGATCAATCACGAGTCACCTAGTTTCCAAGTAGCTTCGCACTATTCATCACTCATCTCATAGCTCATCATGGTTGTTTCAGGGACGCATGCGATCGAGACAGGCCAGCAAGGGTCAGCACGCGGGGAGCTTCGATCGACGTTCTTGCCCCGCCGACTAGACTACTTGCAGCGACAAACGGTCCGTGCTAAGCGGGGTTGCATATCTGGGGAAGGAGAGCTACAGACGTGACGCGGTGCTTGGGCACGAGACTATAGTAGCTACCCCTCTCAGCTGAGACAGCTTCGCTCCTTCCTACTACTCTCTCTTCCAACAACTTCATGCTCACTTCAACAACTTACTCAATCCATTCCAACTCACATCCTACTTCACATCATTCACAATGAGTGCAATCGCTGACAGCACCGATGGCCCTGTCGAGCAGGTCAAGGTGCTGTTTGCCCTGTTCCCGGGCTACAACACGCTCGACGTGGCCGGCCCGCTTGAGGTCCTCAGTCGCTCTCTCCAGGACTCCAAGGACAAGTGTAAGCCTGGAAGCTCAGTCAGTTGAATGTTTGTTGACACTCCACAGCTAGCAAGGCCTTCAACTGCCAATTCGTCGGCACTGCTGCTGCCATGACGTCCGTCCAGGGTCTCACCATCAAAGCGGACATGGACTACGATGTAAGCATACCCGCGAGACGCAAGGATCCTACGCTGACATACATCTCAGGACGCCAACGACGAGCTTGAGGACTTTGACGTCGTCATTGTTCCCGGTGGTGAGGGTGTCTTTGAGGTCCTCAAGAACAAGTCTGAGCCTCTTGGCCTCCTCACCAAGTACGTCGAGCTCCAGGAGAAGAGTCCCAGCAAAGAGCGCACCATCCTCGCCATCGACGTCGGTGCTCTGCTCCTCGCTCAGCAGGGCATGCTCGAGGGCCTTGCCGCTACAACCCACCCAGACTACTACGTCCGTCTCGAGACCATCTGTCAAGATGCGGCTAGACGTGACATGTCGGAGCGTACAGACGTCATGGAGGAGCGGTACGTCGTGAACAACGCCCGCTTCGACCTAGGCGAGAACCCCGACGACAACCCGTATGTAGCACTTGAATTGCGGTGGCATGCAACGCTCACCATTACAGGTACATCATCAAGAAGTCGCGTGAGCCGCCGAGCGCTCCCGAGGGCACCAACATGGGCCATGCTCGTAGGAAGTCGATCGCTCGCAAGGGCAGCAACGCCTGGCGCGACTCTCGCCGCCGCGAGTCCATCGCTCGACGTGCTTCCATGCCCCTGGGTGGTATGCGCGTCATCACCACTGGCGGTGTGACTGCTGGGCTCGATGCCAGTCTATACTTGGTGGGTTCTTTGGCCTCGCACGACTCGGCTCTGGAGGTCGCTCGTGCTATGCAGTATTCTTGGGTCAAGGGCGTTACGGTCGATGCGATCGATGTTTGAGCTACGGCTCCCGCGCGACAAGCGAAGGCGTTTACGAGGAAGGGTTGAACGGAGATCTGAGAAGGTCATCTGGAACATGTCGGGAATCATAGAGATTTACCACGACGAATCATGTGAGGATTCATTCGAGAGTATGTAAAGAATCAAGAAATTCTAAAAGAGCTTTTTGGCAGTGTGAGGTGTCGTTGTGAGAGACGGCCGTGCCAGTGCGAAGCTCAAGCGTCTCCACAAGCTCCACAACAGGCGGGCAACCGATCTTCCGCTCTTTACCTCACCGTTTCCCACAGGATCTGCATCGCAATTCGCGCAGCCGTCAGTCTTATTTGCATTGGCCTGGTTACAGCCTTCCTCATGACGCGTCTGTCATATCGAATCAACGATTGCGCGGCGGGACCGGTCTGTCTCGGCCAGCTTTCCACAGCCGTCGCAGCTCGGGAAATCCCATTCACATTGCTAATCACAGCGTCCACCACTTCCGTGCATCAAGTGCACACTAACCTTCGCGAACCAGAACTATACAAAAGTGTAAGACTTTTAAGGTTGTGAGATCACTAACGCATATGCAGTGATAGTCGTCTCATACGGAAGCGTGTGAGCCACTGGACGTCGGCACGTAGTCTCGTCACAGTAATCGACGGACTTTATCCACGGGCGTAGTATGTCGAACCTGGCATCTCAAAGCGTTCAAACGAAGCAAGCTCTACTCTCCGTCTCGTCGACCTCGACACAGCGCAGTGCAAGCTCGATGTTAGGCCAATCCCTAAAAAAATATGCCGACCACGCTGTCCACATGATCGTTACCGGTCCTTAAACATCATGCTGGCAATTGAAGGATTTTTCCTTCGATTTCGCTATGTCACAAAGCCCACAGACTCTGTCTAGACGTCGTTCTCAAGCTCACTGTGCCCCGTCTGACTGAGTCTTGGAGAGCTGCCACCAAGAACCCGTCGATCGTCGCTTGCCCACTCGAAGACTCTGACGCTTTGACTGGCTTAGCATCATGGCCGCTCTTTCCAGAGCGAGCTTCTAGCCATAGTCATCCAGTGTCTCAGTATGCCTGAGCTCTTTCAGTACGCTTACATGGTCGTGGGCCTATCATATCCATCGCCTGCCTGCCATCTAGCTGATTCTGGGCGTGATCCTACGATGATTCAGCAGACAGGCACAGCACGAACTCTTTCTTAGCGCCAAGAATCGCCGAATGTGTAATGCTACCATCAGATCTCGTTCTCCGTTGGGTGAAGCGACAGATTTCCCGCCCCCGCATGAGGTAAGCAGCAACCGAAGCGCTTCGTCCCGAACCAATCGCGGAATATGTGATGTCAAGACCGATGCATGAAGATGGAGCTGTCTTAGCAGCCAAGTCTTTATCATCCAGGTCACTTCGGGATTTTGTCAACTTTCTGCTCCGATCGTCTAGTTGTTGACTTCGTATCTCACCTAAGAAGTCGCCCTGTAAGGATATGCTGCCTTACTCTGAGCTGTCCATCGCTCTCGTCTGGCGTGACTGACACAAGACCGCATCGAAATACAAGCTGGAGCCAGTAGGAGTGACAGAAACACCATTGCTTACCGGGACATATTCTGAGTGCGACCCAGGCAGGACGAGCAGAAGGATTACGACTACGTCGCCAAGTAAACAGCTTCTGCTGAACGACCGGGCCTATCACACGTTCAGATACGAAACATACAGGACGCCTATGGACGACAACGACGGGGGTGGTGAACAACAGAGGCTGGAACACATAGCCAACGGTAAACCATAAATACCCCCTCGATTGTCTCTTCTTTCTTCTCAGAATGACAACACGCAACCTAAACGGCAACTGGATTGATACTCTACGAAGACAATACGTCTACGACCTGAAAGACGAGTCTCCACATCCCATCAAATACCTTCTTTACAACCCCCACAAGAAGCAAGACTTGTACTTTGTCATCCCCAACAAGATCGAAGAGCCGCAACTAAGACGCTCACTTGTCAAGTACCATCTATCTACCAAGGGCACGTCAGTCGTGGAGTGGGAGAACGAGCACGTCAAAGTCATCTACCACCCTCGATACGCAAAAGAACTACGCGAAGCCGCTCAATCAACCAACACAGAAGACACCCAGAACGAATCACCAACTCCCGAACAGCAAACATGAAGTTCACCCTCGCCACCGCTCTTCTTCTCCTCGCACCCGCGCTTATTAAGGCCTGGAAGTTCGAGGTCTTCGAAGAAGACTGCATCACCTCTACTGACTTCAACGAGGGGGACGACGATGTAGAGTGTGAGGATACGGCGGAACCGCACGGCTGTTTCCGCATCTCCGAAATGGGTAGCTGCGAGATCTTCTTTCACGCGGATGCTGATGAGTGTGAGGATGGTGAAGTCACTATGTCGTACACGGCTACGGACCAGGATCGCGATATCACGCCTGACTTTGAGTGGAACAACTGGAGCGTTCAGTGCTAAACGCGAAGACGCGTTACCATCATGGGGGATTGAGAGCTGAGGTGTGTTTGGTCCGGTGGACTGTCCAATCGCTAGATACATTACCTAGGTACCTATTTCCCTGTTTCCTTGAAGTTTTGCTGTGATAGCATGCCAATCGTTAGATATATACTACAATAGAATCTGTACAGATCTAGAGCGTTGGCGTAGACGTCGCAAAGTCAGTGTGTGTGGACGCTGAAAACCACAGGAACGGGGTGTAGACAAAGCCGTCCGATCATTGCCTAGGTGCGCTGCAATAGACGGCAGGCGTTTAGTGCTTGAGCTACTTTCACTTTTTTGTTTGTTGAGACGGTGAAAACACTGATCGACAAACTTCCTGCAATCTGCAGAGTATCTGTTCACTTCAACGTCACCTGGATCACAACAACGCTCGAGGCCTCTATGGTATCTTCACGAGCGCTGCAATCAACGAATTCCAGAACCTGCCTAATCGGGACGGTCGGACTCACGCTAATGGGCAACGATATGACCAATCACAACCACGAAGTGACAGACCCGCCTAAACTTGCCCTCCCCTGCACGCCCGGGCGTCTTCCCCAGCGCAACCGCCATGTCTTGGCCACGACGAACTAAGGCAAGCCACAGATGTCGCAACACATGGGCGCAATGATTGGACAATGGATGTTCATCACGTCTTCTTCGCGACTGGAGTGTCTTGGCTTCTGCGCGTCTGTTTGTGCATGATGCGTGCGCCCAGCTTCAATTCCTCTCGAGGATATAACCGTCTCTCTCTTGACCCAACTGCCCACATCACGGTCATGCGCATGAGGTGACCATCCCTCCCAATGCCCCTTCAATCCCTCATAAGTTCGCTTCGGAGGCGCAGTCATCGCGCCGCTCCTCCTCCAGCGCACTTGCAAGCCAATACCGAGAAAATCCAATGGCGTCTCGTCGAAGTGTTTACTCGCATGTGGGATCTGGGGTTCACTGCCTTTGGAGGGCCGCCTGTGCATTTCCAGATTCTGCATCGAAGGTTTGTGGAGGGAATGGGGTTCCAGGGTGGGAGTAAGTGGTTGGATGAACAGACTGTAAGTATGCGTGTGCAGATGCGTAGTAGTAAGCTCCATGGTAGAAGTACCAATGAATTGGGTCATTAGAAAGAGCTAGGAATTCTTCTTGAGACCGGAGGAGAAGATGGAGAGATATACCACTCCCTCGACTACCTCTACAACAGAATGCCGCGCAACTAACAACACTCCCCAGTATCAAGAACTCTTCGCAATCTGCCAAGCACTCCCCGGCCCCGCGTCTACCAAGATGTGCTTCTGCATTGCCCTCCTCCACGCGGGTATAGTCTCCGCCGTTTTCGCCTTCCTCCTCTGGAGTCTCCCCGGCGCAATCGGCATGTACGGTCTCTCACTCGGCGTGCAAAAGATGCCCGAACGCCTACCTCCCATCGTGTACGCTCTGCTTTCCGGTCTCAACGCCAGTACTGTCGGCATTGTCGCACTAGCTGCTGTTCAGCTAGCCGAGAAAGCTATCAAAGACCGTGTAACACGTATCTTGGTCATTTTCGGTGCGTGTGCAGGGTTGTGTTATAACGCGCTGTGGTTCTTTCCTGTGTTGATTGTTATTGGTGGGCTGACGACGGTGGTATGGGATGTCTGGCTTGGGCGGCGCGTGGGTAAGATGAGAGCTGCGTATCTGGCTAAGAGGAGGAGACCGAGGAATGAACAAGGTGATGCAGAAGAAGTTTCGGCTACCACGCAGACCATACCAATTGAACTTCAGCGGCCGGAAGCTGTGAAGAGGAGGGTAGGAACGGGCAGCTCGACTGATCGTATTGTGCCTGAGCGGGAGGAGGCAGGGAGGAGTAACGCAGGTGAACACCCAGTTGTTGATGATGTGATTGCGACAAATGAGCCTATAGCTGATGTTAAGACGCATAACATCTCGGTCAAGGTTGGCGTGTCACTTATCGTGGGATTCCTCCTCTCGTTCATCGTCGTCATGGTCATCCGTGGTACGGTATCCAGCACCCGGTCTTTCGATGTTTTCTCCAACATGTAAGCACCCCGTCTACGCACCCAGCTCTCCCCCACTAATCTCACACCGCACAGGTATCTAGCCGGCACTATAATCTTCGGCGGCGGCCCCGTAGTAATCCCCCTCCTTCGCTCCTACGTCGTAGACCCAGGCTGGGTGTCACCCCGAGACTTCCTCCTCGGCCTCGCCATCATTCAAGCCTTCCCTGGCCCCAACTTCAACTTCGCGGTTTACCTTGGCGCTTTGGCCATCGCCTCAGCTCCTGCTTCTACACCGACCATCATGGGCGCCCTTCTTGGTTTCATTGGCATCTTTTTCCCTGGTATTGTGCTCGCAGTCGGTGTGCAGTCTATCTGGCAGGTTATGCGCACCAAGGCTTGGGTGGCTAGTCTGCTAAGAGGTATCAACGCGACTGCCGTGGGACTGGTGTTCACGGCTGTATACAGGCTTTGGGAGATTGGTTATTTGACGCCGGAGAGCAGTGATGGGAGGAGTTTAGCAGACGAGCCGTGGTGGGTTGTTGTTGCTGCTATGGCCTATGCGGAGACGGCTTGGTTTGGTGTACCACCTGCCGTTGCGATTATCATCGGCGCTGTTTTGGGACTGGGGTGGTATGGGGCAGTCGGCCAGTAGGAGACTCGTTTGCTGGCATTTGACGCGAATTTCCGTTCTTCGAAACGATGTAAAAGAGGACATGATGTGTGTATGTCTTGTTTGGACTACCTATTGTACAAATGCTAGATAAGAATCATACCAAAGGGAATGATTAGGGGAGATGCAACCCGATAAAAGGACCTCGACCCGCCAGCAAGAACAATAACCTAAGAAATGCCAGCCCCAACATCGGAGCGAAAAAAGACACCGGCGAGCAATCCAGTGTTGTATACCCTCAGCACCGAAGCCTTGACTATCTAATAACCCACAAACTCGGCCGGAACACCATGACATGCCAGTTAGAACTCCAAAGGAAAAGAATAGGGACACAAAGAGACATCGTGATCTCCATCACGGCATGAGTCACGCCGCTAGAAGGCCACCGCCTCGTCTAGTTGTAGTATCCCCCATTTGGCGCGGAAGTAGATGTGTTCGGGTCGTTGATCTTTCCGCCTCCATTGTGAATGACTGGCGGGTTTTTGTATGATTTGCTGCGTGACGAGCTACCGGAGTTTGTGTACAGGCTGGATGAAGCGGCAGAGTAGGCTGCGAGAATGTTAGAGTCATGTCTTTGGGATGATCTGATAGGAGTTGAAAACATACATGTGGAGGACGTCGAGGGACGGGACGCGTAGGCACCCTTGCTCTGGCCGTAGGAGCCGTAAGACGAGCTGGACGACATGGTTGATTGGTGTTGAGGGTGTTGGAGGCGTTGAGAAGCCGGTTGTGATTCGAGAAGATCAGATGAGTGATCGGCGTGTGTTGTGCGATAGACGGTAATAGAGTTGTATCGGGTGTATACGAGACGACAAGGGCGTTTCGTGATCGTGATCCAAGGTAGACTGTTGACTGAAGACCAACACGGGGACGACTGTGACTCTTCTCGAAGGATGCTTGATATGACTGTAGATAATTGATCGATTGACTGATGAAGAGAAGAAAGAAAGCATCCTCCCACCTCAACCCACGACTATTTATTCCAGGCAGACAGTACCTGAGGCCGCCAACCTACAAGACTCACCACTCGCAACCGTTGACTGTTCTTTGTCGCCATCGGAGTTCTCCTAACGCTCAATGTAACGCCGTTGCCTGAATAGCTGGGCTAGGCGCGTGGTCGAGGTGAATGACTGCGCGATTGCGATGATTCACACGCGTGGCTATGTTCACCTCGGGACAAGTCCTGAGGCAGGACACGCGTGTGCGCGAATCAGCGATTAGGCTGCACTTCCCGTTCACCATTTGACCTGCCAAGAGCAAGAGTCATCATCGGCGGGTGCGGATTTACCGAAGGAACCAGTTCAATCGGCGTGGACTAAGATCGGGTCACGGCTAGAAAGGGTCGAGGTGGTGACTCGCATGGCGCAAAGGGCGTACGCGTTGCAGCCATCTTCTCCTGCAAGGCACATCAAGCGAATCGAACCTATGAAAAGGCAGCAGGAAATCTGTCAGAGACGCGTTATCCAGTGACGTGCCTGACACCCCAGGCGACAGCGGTACCCAAAATGGATAATGACAAAGCGGACAGGACTGGTGAACGAGAAAGTCACCGGTTGACCGAAAGAAGATGGGGTGTGGGGGCTGGGAGCAATGTAGGTGCCTGGAGCTATTGCAGGCAGCATTGCAAAGCATTCACCGTGATGCAACGGCAAAAGAGCTCATCGGCGGCGTCCGATAATGAAGATAGGGGCATGGAATGGGAAAAAGGGCAGAAATGTCAAGGCAAAAGGCGGTGTTGTGGAGTAGGGTAGGAGGCGCAGTGGAAGGGTCCTGGTGCATGGCGGGGTTGTTGCGTAGCGGGAGGCCATCAATCCGAGCAAGGCTGTCGCGAGGCTGCACGCGATTCACGTGGGTGTTCATTCCGCACTGACTCAGAGCAGGTAGTTGTGGCGACTGCGCGGCTCTGGATTGCGCAACTGCGCATATGGTCCAGGCGTTTGCCAGCGCATAGCCGGTGAACCGCTGGAGAATCCAGGACTGAACTTCTCGCCAACTACGCTGCGCATGCGCAGTAAGGTGGGCCGAGGGACATTGTTAATCTCCAGTATGCCAACGCAGAGCCGGTGAACCGTCGGAGGCATAGCATCTTCAACGTGTGACTTGGGCTGCTTATCGAGCCCGGCATACATGGGCAGCCAATGAGTCAAGATCGTCATCAATTGGTATCGAATGCATTGGGTATCGCTATATCCGCTCCCTGAACCTCCACGTCTAATCGTACAATCTCAGAGCACCATTCAGATCACCAGCAACCACCTTGCTCGACTCCCTCGGATGCCACTGTACTGACAGTACAGGCGCATCGCTCGCTGGAATCTTATGGTACATCTTGCACGTCTTCCAGTCCCAGAAGCACAAGAAACCTCCACTGTCACCCGAGCTAATGAACTGCCCGTCTGGACTGATCGCCACGTCTGGTGCATATCCAGCCACATTGTGCCCTCTGTAACTCTTCTTTCGGTTCTGTCGGAAGCGGTCGGTAGAGCTGTATACGGTGATTTGGTTATCGGACGATTGGAAGGCAACGTATTTGCCTGACGGGTGGGGTGAGGAGCGGACCATGGAGAACATGTAGGGTTCGGCGATGAACTTGATAGGTACGGGAATGCCGTATTCCCACGCGCGTAGGGACTTGTCGTCTGATGTGGTGATGAAGCGGCGGTTCTCGTCGCAGAAGGTGATTGTGTTGACAGGCCCCAGATGGTGGTCGTATTCCTGCACCATCTCTCCGCTTCTTGTGTCGTACTGTAGGATCTTCTTGTCGCTCATACCGGCCAAGAACTCGTGTGGTGTACTGGGGTTGATGCGCACCACGTGCGGTGTCTTGCCAGTTGTGAACTTGTTCAAGCACTTCCCCGTCTCTGTGTCCCATAGCTTCATGAAGCGATCGTAACTAGCCGATATGAACTGTGTGCCGCTGGGGTTGAAGTCGATGTCAACAACCGACTTGGTATGCCCAGAGTATGTTCGCAGGAGCTCGCGTTGGTGATAGACGTCCCATAGCGCAATCTTCGAATCGGCGGAGGCAGAAAGTAGGAGATGTCCGCTGTCAGGCATGAAGCGAACCTGAGTGATCGACTTGGTGTGGTATTTGTAGGTGTGGATGAGCTTCTTCGGTATGAAGTTCTTGGGCTCGTAATCGCCGGTGAGTTTGATGTCGAGATCCGTGGGCACATGCATGTACGTCCGGCCCTGGTAGTCGTACTGCTGGCTGCCAACAAACTCGCTCGTCTCGCCCTCGGCTTCGGTATCGCGGTAATCTGTGCCGGCGAGCTTCTTTTGCGCGGGCGCAGCGTTGTCGACAATCTCGTCTTCCTCGTAAACTATTTCCACCTCGACGTCCGACCCGAACTCGTCGTCTGAGGCAGCATCTGGCCTCTCTTCCTCATACTTCGCCCATGGTCCCTTGTATGCGCCTGCGCCAGTCACGACGCTCGAATCGCCCTTGCCCTCTCGCTTTCTTTTCTTCGACCCGTCGCCGCTCTCGATGGCGCGTTGACCCTGGCGGAAGGTGTGGTCGCTGATGTACGTCTCTGCAGCGAACCCAGTTGGCACCCTGCCCGAGCCGCCGGCGGGCATTCTAGCTGTTGTGGAGATAGGGTAAGGATCGCGTAACGTGTGAGAACTGGCGACAGTGTCGATATTGGGGTTCGACAAGGCTGGAAGGTGGTCAGCGCGGAGTGTCGGATGCGAAGTTGTGTATGGAAGCTTCCCAGCTCACCAGAAAATGTGGGTGACTGCGCACGGACCACAACCCGACTATGCATTGCGTAGTTACATGTGAAAACTATGGTCCATTTACACGAGGCTAACATAACGCTATCATACCCCATAACTCGTTTAATCCCTCTTGGGTGAATTCCCATCCCCAAACCTGTCGCTCCAGGTATCCCGCATTATCCTAAACCAACAATCATGTCCTCCCGCTAGCAATATGCGCACGCGTGGCTCGCTTCCCCGAGCCGGATATCAAGTGTATCTATCCGTTAATCTTCAGCCGTCCCTGGATTCGGTCTTCGTAGCCCACCGTAATCAGTACAGCCGCGAATATACCTACGACCAAGACGATGGGCGCAGTCTCCACCTAGTGAGACTCGTCGCGGATGAGGGCGACGATCATGCTGTAGAGGTAGAAGAAAAACATGAGCAGATGGAAGCCCAGCTTGATGAAGGATTCCTGTGTGGCTGTTAGCCTATCGCCATATACTCGGTATCCTCTCATCGTACCTTCTTGTGCACATTGAGCTTCCTGAAGATCTCCGTTGCGTCCAACAGATGCTGGTTCTCAAAGATCCTGTGACTGTCAGCATTGTCCTTATCCCTTGGTATAGTCCGGCCCTGCTACGTACTTCTTTCCGTTCCATGCCAACAGAGGTAGGTTCAGGATCAATGCGATCCAGTATCCGTTGATGAGGAATAAGAAGGTCAGGAAAGCGTGCACGGCGGCCTCGGGGATGATGTAGGTGTTCAGGCGGTTGCAGAGATCGATGGGGTTGATGTAGTCACTGGCGCAAAATTAGCATGTGCCGATCAAGGTACGGGCCGTATCGCGTAGATTGCTACGCCATGGCATTGTATGCCTGGGGTTGACTCACCATTCCAGATCGCTGTACATGATAGTAAAGAAGACTTGTAAGAACAGGTTGACGGCATTTATCAGCACCGCCAACAGGTACAACCATGCTTCGCCAGTCATTGTGGGAGTGTCGTGTGCTGCGTAGCACGGCTTTGGCGTATAGAAGGTTTAATATAGACTAGCGAGGTCGCCAGTAGACACCTGGATACGAATGGACAGGTGGTCGACAGAGGTTCAGCACTCGGATGCGGTCGTGTGTTTGCAGGCTGCCGAGCTAGAACGCGGGAAGCTAGCTCGTGCGCGGGGCCTGGCTAGAGGTTGTGATGACGTGGGTGAGCGGTGGGGTTACACGACGGTGATGCGACGGTAGAAGCTTGAGTAATAACGTCGATTGCGAGGTCGCTCAAATTCTGGCGGGCGTTGGCAGAGATGTTTGGATGACGTTGAGGCGGAGACACGAGTTGCTTCCCTGGACGGCGGGCAGGCACCACCACTAGCGTCATTCGCCTCGCTTGCAGGTGTGCGTTGAGCGGGCCAACACCGTCCGACCGAAGCTTGACCGAAGGTTGGTGATATCACGGACGGCCGAATTGTTTCGTCGAAACGAAACGAGTTGTGCAAGCTATGACTGCCAACAACATGAACATCACTACAGACCGCCATCACGCGAATGTTGATGAAACTCAAAAGCCTCGTGCTGTTGAATCACGCTATGCGTACTCTGAGAAAGTATCGTATAGCTATGTTATTCCCAAGTGTCCAATCATCCTCAAGCAGCTGCCTTCGCTTCGCCATTCGTTTCACCGTTTGTGGCTCCCGGCATCGGTACCGGACCACCTGGCGAATCTGGCAGTCTTGCAGTCAAGACCTCCACGCCATCCTCTGTTACGAGTAGGGTGTGTTCTGTAGCGTGTTAGTCATGAGTGGACACATTGATGCATCTGCGGGGCTTACCAAATTGCGCTGTCAGAGAGCCATCCTGCGTGACACTCGTCCATTCGTCTGGCCATGTCTTGTCCCTATGCGAACCAACACTAATCATAGGCTCAATGGTGAAGCACATGCCGGGCTTTGCCGATCCAACTGCCTTGTTCTTCGCGTAGTGAGGAACATTGGGTGCGCAATGGAAGAGCTGGTTGACGCCGTGCCCGCAGTATGTCCTGATGACGCTGCAGTTCTTGCTCTTTGCGTGCTTCTCGATGACGTTTCCGTATTCACGGAACAGTGTGCCTGGCTTGACGATCTCGATGGCCTTTTGTAAGCACTCTCGCGCTGTCTCGGTGACGCGTACAGCATCCGGGTTTGCCAAAGCCTTGTCTCCAACGTAAAACGTCTCGTTCAGATCCGCGTGGAAACCGCCGTGGTAGACGGAAATATCGATGTTCAAAATGTCGCCATCTTTGAGTACTCGCTGGTCAGGGATGCCGTGGCAAATGACCTCGTTTAGCGACGTGCATACGGACTTGGGGAAGTGGCAGTAGTTGAGGGGCGATGGGTAAGACTGTTGCGGTTAACAAGACGTTCTGATTCCCTAACATTGTCGCTCTTACATCACGCTCGACAGTAGCCTTATGTACGAGCTCGTCGATGTAGTCAGTGGTGACACCAGGCACTGCGGCTCTTCCTGCAATGTCCAGAATCTCGCGCCCGTACCGACACACCTTGCGCATCGCATCTTGCTCCTCCTTGTTCAGAATCGTGATCTTATTCCTGTTGACAAACACCTGCTCCGAGCGCGGTATGCCGTCCTTCGCGTAGTCTGGGTGTCTTATGTGCTTCGGGACTTCGCGTCGCGGCGAGAGCGGGTATACGGGTCTGAGGGCGCCGGTGTACGAGTAGGTAGGGAACGGGTTGTAGTGGCCGGTGGCTGGATCCGGGTGAGAAACTACTTTCGGCGTAAAGATACTTTGGAGAATACTACTTTGTGACTTGTGCTCCTTCTTGTGCTCAGCCTAGAGGGCCGTTAGATTGTTTTGTCTGCAGTGTAAGAGCAGTCTCACTATGTACCCAGTTGCGCTTGAAACAATCCTGCGAGCAGAAGTAGTTCTCTTTTCCGAGCTTCTGGCAGTTCGGACATTGCAGAGAACTCGCATCGTTCTCGCAGTCTTTGCCTGCGCACTTGCGCGGGGCGTCTGTGGCCATCGCGTGCGGTGGTGTAGGGCGTGTAGAGGGTGTGGTCGAGGCGGAGGTGGCCTGATATTCACGTGCACTCGACTGTACAGCGCGCAAGGAACGTATATGTGCGAGGCAACGGTTTGCGCACGGAGGAAGTGGTGGACTGCGACTTTCGTTTGTCCCACGGCATCATCAAGTCGGAATTCGTGCAGGGGTCCAGGCCGCCGGCCGCCGATCACCGATTACTAAGTAGCCAACTTGAACCAGAGCTCGCGCTTACCCGTTCCAGTCTTGACGTGCATCATCTGCCCTACTTTGCCATCATATCTGACTCTTTGGATCCCTGGTAATGGTTTGATAATTTTCACCCGTGTCTCGCGTCTCCCTCGTTTGCGGACGATGTATTTCCACTCTTCTTTTCTTCTTCCTCCTCTTGCTCTTCAACTCACACCACGCCGCTTCTGAGCACAGACGATTGAACCAACCATCTTTTTACTCCAACTTTTCCACATTGCCTCCTTACCACCATGACCCAGAAAGTAGTTGTGGTTGGAGCCGGGCCAGTAGGCTCTTTGGCCGCGCTTTATGCAGCTGTACGCGGGTTTGAAGTGGATGTCTACGAGCTAAGAGCAGGTGAGATAATGATCTGTAAACCATCTCGGTGCTAGCGAGTGACCTAACGCTAGCCAGATCTCCGAGACCCCAACACCACACCGTTAAACTTCTCCAAATCTATCAATCTTGCTTTGTCGGAGCGAGGTATCCACTCCCTTCGCAAGACCGGACTATCCGATCTTGCAGATGCAGTCTTGGCAGAGACCTTCCCCATGCATGGTCGCATGATCCATATCAGGAAGAATGGAGAGTATGTTCGACAGCCACAGATCTATGATGCGAGAGGGAGAGTAAGTACAGTGTGGTCGCATGCTATTGATCTCATGCTAATCTGGGTAGAGTTTGTTGGCTATGGATCGGACAGGTTTGAACAAGACCTTGCTTGACCATCTAGAGGCCATGCCTAACGTCAAGCTCATGTTCAATCACAAGTTGGTCGGCGCAGACTTCCGGAAGAAGACCGCATGGTTTGAGCATCGTACCAAGTCTCCCGAAGAACAGGGCGACGAGTTCGAAATCAACTTCGATCTCATGATCGGTGCCGACGGTGCACACTCGGCGGTGCGATATCACTTGATGAAGTTTGTGCCCATGTCGTTTCAGCAAGAGTACATCGACAAACTCTGGTGCCAGTTCAATGTTCCAGCCACACCGGACGGCGAATTCCGAATACCTCCAAACTACCTACACATCTGGCCCCAGGACGAATCTATGTTCATCGCTCTCCCAAACCTAGACAAGACTTTTACATCAACGCTTTTCTTGACCAGGGAAGGCTTTGAGCAATTGGACGCGTCTGGAAAAGTAGTCGAGTACTTCAATGAGAAGTTCCCCGGCGTGGTTCCTGAACTCATCACCGAAGACGATCTCCGCAAGCAGTACACATCTAATCAGCACCTGCCCTTGATATCGATCAAGTGTACTCCATATCACTACGGAGATTCTGGCGTTATCTTAGGAGACGCGGCCCATGCCATGGTACCATTCTACGGCCAAGGCATGAATGCTGGACTGGAAGACGTCCGCGTTCTTTTCGATTTCATCGACAGGTATCCCAACGATCGATCAAAGGCCCTAGATGAATACACCAAGGAGCGCACTCCTGACGCACACACCATCAACGATCTTGCCGACGGGAACTATCGCGAGATGGCAAGCGACGTCAAGAAGCCTCTATATCTACTGCGGAAGTGGGTGGAGGAGCAACTCTATATCTACGTTCCGAGCATTGGCTGGGCCACACAGTATTCACGAGTCACATTCAGCAACATGCGATACTCCGAGGTTCGGCAAGCGGCACAGAGGCAGGCCAAGATCCTCAACGGCGTGGCCGGTCTGGTGCTGGCTTCTGTTGCTGGTGCCGCTTTCTGGTTCGCGCGATCTGGTGGCGCACAGCACGCAAAAATGGGCATCATGAGGTCTATCTGCGTCGTTGCGCAGAAGATGCAGAAGCTCACAGAAGGTTGAGCGTTGCTGGGGACATCTTGAACCGAGACTGGCGCCCGAGCTGTAATATCACATGTTCCT